AGGCACAGATTCAGCTGCCAGCCAACAATTCCACATGGAATGTGGGGGAATGGGGCTGTGCTGGGCAGAACCGTGGGTCTCACTGCAGAGCCTGACACTTCACATAGAGTCCATCCCTTCCCCTTTTTAAACTTCACTTTTAGTTTGGGTTCACACCACATATGAAAGATTTCCTTGGATATTCTTCAGCTTTGCCTTGTCTCTGTGAGCTCACCCTGGTAGCAAAAATATTTCTGAGCAGGTAAGTGATGGAATAGACAGGATTCCTTACAGAGCACATCTGTGTGTGTGTCTGTGTATATTTACATGTGTAAATTTGGCAATGTATAGAGTAATTCTGCCCCACTTAGAGATGGTTTTAATCTGGGAGGAGGCAGAGAGGGCCCAGAGCAGGCGGCAGGAGTGTGGAAGGATGTATGGACACGCAGCTAATGAGAAGGGAAGTGGCTGGAGGCTGAAGGGATACGGTGGGTCCCCAGTGTGGCAAGCACATATGCTGCCACACAGCAAATGCAAAGTGCCACCACCAGTGACAAGTGGATTGCACCTAAGGAAAACAGCTGTGCCCAGTGCCCAGATCCAGTCAGCCTCCCGACCCTGCCTGTCCCTGCTCTGATGTGGATTCAACTGGTCAGCTCTGGGAGCCTCTCGGAGCGCGCTTTGCACGGCAATAATGGTTCAGGAGTCTCTGGAATACCTTTTGCACGGCTGCCTCTTCTGCATTTGAAATCTTGCATTTGTGGGATTGTTTTATTTTGTTTTATCTTAATTTATTCTGCTGCACTGGGCATGGCAGGAACACTTTGATTGTCTGTGTAGATCATTGCATGGTTTAGTGCAGTTCTGTGTTACAAACCTTCCCACATAGCCCTGTTATTTGTTAATAATTTTTCTATTTTGAAGGAACATCCTTTGACACCTGAGCTGGATCTGCTTTTCTTAGGCATAAATATAATTGTCCCTGGTGAAGAGAATCTCCCTGACTGGTCCCATCCCCTCTGTATATATTTGAATATATAAAATATTAATAAATGATGGCAAATGTTTAATCATATTCGTTTGACTCTACGAGGCTCGGTATATGTAGACTTTCCTGTTAACTGCCTCTGTGATATCTACATACTGCTGATTTGTTGTTGAGCCGGAGTTTTTAAAGCAAAATAAAACTGAGGTTTGCAGTTTGATTTGAATTAATCAGGTCTGATTAGACAGGAACCCATCAGGCTGTTCTGGAAATCCCTGAAACTCTCTAATTCAATTTCATGTGTTCAAAAAGAAACAGTTCATAGCTTAAGCAAAAGTGCTATTTATTTAACACTGCTTTTTTCAGAGTGCTAAATCTTATGGAGGGGGGCATCGTGATGATGTTCAGGGTGTAGGAAAGAAAGCATTTTGTTTTATGAAAATACAGATATTTTAGAATGGAGTCACCTGCTGGTAGATCTCATAAATGTACATAAAAGAAGCCTCCCTAATATTATTAGTTTGGTTTTTTTCTTCCCTGACTGTCCACCTAGGAAGCTTTGATAGCTGGAAAACCCACAAAACCATAAGACTGTATTTAGCTTAATAAACCAATTTAAAGAGAAAGGTTGGAATTGCATATGGCAGAGGACAATTACACAAACTAAATGATTGCTCAATTAATAAAGAGATCCATGAAAGGAGAAGGAGACAGGGTGGGAGGAGAAGGCTCCTGGTTCCCCAGAGCTCCCGGACAGAACCTACAGGGGCTCTGCCGGACGCAAAAGGCTCCAGTGGAAGTTGGGCATTCCCGGCCAGGTTTTCCTGGGATGCTCTCCCGGAGCTCTCTCAGGAACTGCCAGTGGGCCTGGGGCAGCACCTCTCCCACACAATCCCGAGCCACTGCTCCCTCGGGAAGGGACAGACGCAGCCTCCCCCCCAGAGCCACCGGCCCGACCTTCCCGTGCAGCTCCGGGGCTGCTTTCGGTGCTGCCTTCGGAGCGAGCCCCAAGCTCCAGATGGGAAAGGGAGAAGAGTTCGCAGCCCGGAGCAGAGCCGGGGTCGGGGGAGAGCCGGGAGAAGGGGAAGGAGCGATTATCGGGAGGGCAGTAGTGGGAGGCGCTGTCAGTGACAGCGATTCACGATGGGACGCAAATCACTTAAGGCAAAGCGATTAGGATCAATTTAAAATACCAAAGAGGGAGGCTAAAGTGACAATAGCGTATTTTAATTGAAATCACAAATATCATTCTGCAAGATCTGGTTTAAAAGACCAGGCAGAGTTACTTTATCTGAATACAGGAAAACTTTTCATGTTTTGATATTAAAAAAAAAAAAAAAGGTAAAGATCAAAATGGAACGATATTTTTTCAAAAAATTCTTAAATCCCATCTATCTATCTATATGTATTTCTGTTTTAATGTTCTGCCTTCTCTTGACTTGATGGTCATATTATAAATGGAATTAACGAAATTGCTAATGCTTTTAATTTGATTTTAATAGAGCCTAGGGCTGAAGCATGGAATCCGCACATGTCCCATTAAAAGAAAAATACAGTTACGGGGACAATAAATAGCATGCCCAGATAAACACTTTTATCTGTGTGTTAGTTTTCCTTATTGAGATGAGTAGCCCACATGCAGAGACTGGGGTTTTTAAAGACATTTTTCCAAAGCTGAAGTCCACATGATGAGATTGTTACTGGTTTTGGCAGCAGCAATGTGAACCTGGTAAAAGAGCCTGGCATGGGAATCCACCGAGTCCTGACATATCCCATTTGCCCCGAACTCTTTGATTTCTGCTCACAGAATCTGACATGTGTTGGGCATTGACCTTGCTCTTTTAAATAAGCTTATTTTAGAAGACCTCTGCAGAACGCTGTGTGTTTGGCCTCGATGTAAGCTGTTAGGGAAATGTAGTACAAACACAGAAGTTGTATGTTTTGAATGCCAGAGATGTTAAGCAGCAGAGCAGTTGGTAAAAGCTGTACTTCTGACTGCTTTCTGTGCTCTCAACACGTGTCCTGAAAGAAAAGAAAATTTATTTACCCTGCTTTCGTGTGAAGGTTGTTATTTATTTCTTTTTAGCAGGAAGTTCAGGAGCAGACTGCTTTTTCAGTCCTAGATATTTTAAATGGGCTCTCAGACACTCAGTGGAGCAAAAGCAGTTTTTTTGAAAAGAGATTGTTGGGGATGTCCCAGGTCAGAAAGCTCAGAGGGTCAGAGTCTCATTGTGCTGTAGAATCACCCCCAGAAATGTCTCTGGATAGGGGTGCTCAGGTACAGGAGTGACTTTCCCTTATGGAGCAGCACCCTCACCTCGTGTTTCAGGAAGGGCTGGAACCTCCAGTGTGGAGATCTGGTTTGCATTCGTTGCAGGGCAGCAGCTGGGGTGGACGTTCAGTCCAAGGGCTGCAATCCTGTAAATGCCAGCAAGGAAACAAATCACTGGGCCCCAAGGTGACAACACAGACAGGGAGAGGGATGGAAGGGCCTTTAAGGAATGGGCACAAAAAACATCCCTCATTCAGCCTTTCTTTGCTCAAGTCACTGGAAAGCTCCTATCAACCCCAGGAACAGCAAAAGCAGCAGGAAACTTGGAAACACACTTGGGATGCTGCTGTGGTGTGTGCAGTCCTGCACCCTTGATTTGAGCTCTGGAGCCTGGAAATTCCATTAGCTGGACAATATGTTCCCAGGAAGGGTTGCTGAGCCTTGCCATACCTGAGCAAGCAGCAGTAATAGTCTACGAAAAGGAAAGCAGGTATCAAGTCACCAAAACAAGTGTAAATTTCAATTTGTGGCTACGTGCAGCTCTTCAGGACAAAACCTGGCTCTGAGGTGAGCTGTGCCAGGACATTGATAACCCTGTTCCACGGCTCTCAGCACTTGGCTCAGTTGGCTTCCCAAGCCCCCAGGATGGGCATGGAGACCCATCTCTGACACTGGGGTGAGAGGCTGTGAGCGTTTCATGGAGCATTTCCTTGGCTAAAGGACTTCGGAGTGGATTTTCCCCCTTCTCTGCAAAGCCTCCTTCCTGATTCAGCAGCAGCACAGGGAATCCCTCCTGTGCCATGAATAATTCATCTGCAGTGTGTGCACGGGGTTCAGAGCCTGACCCAGACAGTTTTTTAGGGAAATAAGTGAGCATCCTGCCATTGGTGCCAGTGCTGGTGGCTGCTGCGTGGAGGATGGGCTGGAGCGGTGCCATCAGTCAGCGGGAGGGATGGCAGAGCTGCTGCCCCTCCTGCAAAGGGGGCCTGCCTGAAATTCCCTTAACTGTTACTCACAGGCTCATTTGTCCAGGGAAGTGGCTTTTATTTGTTGTAAATTCTTCATACAGAACAAAACCTAAATAATGTAACATATTCTGGGCTCTGGGCAGATAAATATTGAAAGGGCCGGGGTGTTTGTGGCAGTGGAATGATAGTGACAAGCACCACATGGGGTCCCCAAGGATGGTGTCGGGGGACTCGATCCCCCATAAAATGATCAAAGACTCTGATGCAGTGGTGTTATGTGAAACAATTTGAACATAAATGCCACTTTCTGTCCCATTAGCAAATGACTGCCATTGTACCAGGATTTTTAATTTTTTTGATAAGTGTTTTAAGCACACAGAGACTAAAAACTTGCATTGTGATAGTGCTGCAGGAAGATCTAAAGGTTGTGGTGGACTAAAAATTGAAATGCAAATCACACTTTCCCACAACCTCCTGCTGAGGCCCAAATTTTTACAGATCAGGTCCTGCAGTCCTGATGAAGATTCAGTGATCTGCCTTTCCTGGGATTCACAAATTAGTTGCAGTCCAAGGTATCATTTCCTACGACAGAACTGTAACTTACCAGGTGAAAGTTTGTCACTGAAGACAGTCCCCTGATCTTCCATTAATTTTTCCAGCTGCAGTGCCACTAAGGATCCTTTCCCAGACAATGCAAACACACACATCACACTTCCCCACTCTGCAACATGCTCTCACTGAATATAAACACACTGTATATATTGATCCTCTCCCTCTTGCTTTTTTTCTTCCTCAGCGTGCAGGTGGTAAAACACTGACTGCCATGAACTTCATTAGGAAAAAAACAAAAAAAACAAAAAAAGAAGAAAAAGCTGTGGTTTGGAAGCAGCTGGATGGCAGACTGCAGGCTGGGAATGTGGCTGCCAAAACCACCACAAGGAGACTGGGGCACAGAGGCATTTGTGGAGCATTCTGTTTGCTAATTGCTCATGGAATTTCAGGTAAGGAACATCCAATGTGATTTGTTGCAATAGGGAATGGCCTGGGTTTTGCTTTCCAGGGTGGCTTTCTTCCATCATTATTATTTTTATTGCTGTCATTACAAATGCCCAGCTCTCTGACAGAGAGCCCAGCTCACAGAGGGGCTGTGGGGTAGCACAGAGCATTTTTAGCCACACAAATGCCAGGCAGTACCAGCACACGTCTCCAGGCCCTGCTGTATCCCAGGGCAGGATCTGTTCCTGGCTATGAGGAGAGATCCCTCTCAATGCTTCACCTCTCCAAACACAGGAATCTGCTGAGGATTCCCAAGGGCTGTGTGTGGGCTCAGTTTGAGCTGGTTCTCTGTGCCCTGAACCGCTGTGGATTCCCAGGAACCGTTCTGGTCACTCCTTTCCCTTCTGGCTATGTAGAGGTTCCTACAATGCAAAAATGTGTTGGAAATTATCACCAGCAGCGATGACAACCTCTGAGTCCCTCTGGTTTGCATCTGGTTGCCATCCTGCAACTTTAACTAGTCCTACAACTTACTGCTAATTAGCACCCAGCTAATGGTGATCCCTAGCAGTGCTGCAGAGTCCGCGGGCATTGATGAGAATTAGCGTTTGTCGATGGCCATGGTGGGAGCTGCCTGTCTGCAGCACTGGGTGCTGGAATGTTTGATTGCCTCCTCCAGTAATTAACACTGACACTGAGCAAGTTTTTCAGAGGTCTCACTTGGCTGTGCAGAGACCAAAGACACACTGGGCTCTGTCTGTGGTGAGGGGAGGCCAATAATAATGTACTTCCCAATAATAATGTATCTTCCCTCCTTCTCTCCACTCCCCTGCCACAGGTAACGCAGTGCCAAGGGATGGAGTCAGTGGCTGTCCTGCTACACATTTCCCTGCTTTGTTTCCTGCATGAAATGCTCATTCACTACTTTTTTAATGTTTAGAGAACAATTTAAACATTTTAACTTAAAGTCAATTGCCTCCTTGGTTTGGGAGTATGACAGTAGTTAAAATGCTACAGGAATTTGGCACACCAGCAGTGAGTAACTCTGGTGGACACTTCCATGCCTGTTTTAAAGAGGGTGCATAATCAGAATTAAAGCACAGGGAATACAGAGAAATACAGGCCCCTTGTAACCCTTGAGGGGTACATGAGCACGTGGCTGGTGCTTCTTTAGGAACATCAGCTTTGGAAAAAGAGGTGCTGGGGACTGTGGCTGTGCCCCTGGTCAGCTTCCCAAAGCCGCTCTGCAGAGAGAGGCACGCACTGCACATCCCACCCTGCCTCTGGCTCGGCCTGGAGCTGCAAAAGGAGCTTTTTCCATGTGCTACTGTGGGGAGGAAGCTGCTCTCGCCCTCACCCTGAGGAAGATGAGCTATAGGAATATACAAGGGGCTTTTTTTATAGCTCGGGGGCCAAGAGGGGAAGCAGTGGTCATGAGCAGAGGCTGGAACTTGGCTTGTTAAGTAAATCTCAGGCTGTAGCTGGTTTTAATTTATTTTTTGTTTTATGTGCAGGAGACTAGGCCTTGCAGGCCTGGCTAATATCAAAGCCTGGGGTTTTGTAGATTTTTAATCAAGGTCCACTTTGGGGGGTTCTGCTTTCAGGGCTTGTGGATGTGCAGGATTTTTTTGTCATGTTTTTCATTTTTTCTTGCTGCAGTGTCTGGATTTCTTTAGTTCAACTTTTCCATTCTTCAGACTTGAGCCAAGTGAGCGATTTCAAATTACCCAGCACTTTCCAGAGATGGAGGTGGGTTTTTTTTGTTGTTTGGGGGTTTTTTTTGGTTTGGGTTATTTCTTTTTTTTTATCTGAAGCAGACTTGCAGTCCAGTTTCTCTGAAAATCACAGATGGGATTGCAATCCTACCCCATTGCCTCTCAGTAATTTGGCATTCTTTGCACTGTCTGAATAGTTTATTGTTCATCAAATCTGTATGAAAGGAATTTTATATAAATTTTTTGTTTGTTTTGTCCCTCTGCTGGCAGGAAAAGTAAATCCCAAAGTATTTCAGCAGGTGCTATTAATATGCAAATAATGGAGAGTACACTGGGTCTAATAGACCTCCCAACTACATGGGAGGTGTCGCTGTTGGAGCAAATTAGCTTTCTGTAATTTGCATGCTTTTCACACCCTCCTGGGATTATATTTTAGATCAGAGACAATAAAAGCATATGCTGTTAGTTTTAAATGTAACTAATTTTAGACTTTGAAACCATTTTAACCTAACTTCTTAGTGTTAAACTGTTATTTGCACAGAAACTTTCCACAGAGCTTGTAATTTGCACGGCCTTTCTGTTCCCCCATTAACTGCTCTATCTCTCTTTGCAGGTTGAAAGAGAAGAAGGGAATCTGCCAGGTGGCTGCATTCTGAAAAACAGGTATTTCTCACAAAATCCAGATTGTCCTAGCCTGGTTCTGAGTCTACATTCAGGTCCTGATGGGGTCTAGATTCAGCTTTTTATGTCAAACTTCTTCCCTCCCATTTGGCATCTCCATATGGGGTAAACCCATCCCAAAATGATGCTGTGGCCCCAGCTGGCTGCTCACAGAGGGAAGAGGCTGCTCGAGCATCAGAAAATCTTCTTTGCTCACCCAGCAAAGCAAAGAGCCCCAGAGCTGATGTGGCACCAAATCCCAGTGTGGCTGCCCAGCCTGTGCCTGGTGAGAGTGCTGGGAAACTGTTTGGAACAAACAGGAAGAAAAGCAGGGATTTCAGAGCAGGCTCAGTCCGTGGAGTCACACATTACTGACTTGTACTGGCACATTATCAATGGCACTTTCCAGTTCCACGGCTGATGCCTGTGCTTTGGGACAGTGGGAATGATGGGGCCTATGGAGCTGTGTCCATGTCCCAGGTGCTGCCGTGGCTGCTCGCTGCTGGACTGGCCAGGTGGGTGCCCCTTGTCCCCATCCTGCCCTTGTGGAGCTGGTCAGACCCCAATTCCTGCTGCATGGAAGGACTGCAGTGAGGGCTGGGAGAGGAGCTGCAGGTGACAGTCTGGGGAAGGGGCAGCCCCTGTGTTTTGTCCCCCTGCCAGCTGTGCCAGTGGCCGAGGGTGAGATCTGGGAGCTCCCTGTGGCACAGCTGCTCCATTGCTCATAGATCCCTGGGCAGATCACTTGGGCTCAGGGGGTGGTGGCCATCCTTGATTTCAGGGGGAACAGAGTTCAGGGGTAGCATCAGACGTGTGGAGGAGATGGCAGGCAGGTGGAGGTCAATGTAACATTATCAGATTTATTTCTGCCATGGGAAAGGTGAGTGTGGCATGAGATAGTAAGTCTGAGAGGGGTCCTTTGAGACAGGAAACTTTTGGGGTGCAGCTTTGGCCCTACAGCAACGTGTGGTGAGACTCTTCTGAATTTCTGGGGCCACAACTTTGCCATCAGTGTTTTATAGGTGTTTTTCAGAGATGATGTACAGAAGCTGTTTGTTTCCCATGGAGTGTTCTTCAAGCTGGAAAATACTGGGTGCTAATTTTTTTCTCTCATCTCACCCTAAATGTTTTCTATCATTAATACCAGTGACCTCCCACTTCTGCTGCTTTTTATTAATGGGATGTGGTTTGCCTGTTATGGCACTGGAGTTGGAAGCACTTGCTTTATTTAAAAATGAAAACAAAAAGAGAGAAAAAAGGGCTCTGATTACTCAGGTGTTGACAGAAAAAAACTGTGATGTTGTGCCAGATGGCTGCATTTGTGAAGCAGAGTGTAGTCAGAAGGAAAGTGGAAGGAGACAAGGCAAGTGTACATCAGGAGTGTGAAAACATGACCAAAATACCTTCAGCCTTGTTTCACCAACACTGGATTAGGAGGCAACTGTGGTGAGATGCAAGCAAAGAAAAGCAGAAGGGGACACTGTTTGGAAAACAAAAATGTCTTTCACAAAAGCTTTGAATTAACAAAACTCAGGAGATTTTGTGGGCCAGTGCCTCAGAGCACTGTGCCACATGTGACAGTAGAGCAGCGATGGCAGCCGGCTGTGGCCGGGCTCAGTGAGCTCTGGAGCAGAGCTGCTGCCGAGCATCGCCCAGCGCCCGCTGCCTCCAGCACTGCCCAGCCCTGCACGGGGCCGGGAAGGGGCTCCCGGGGATGGGGGAGCTGTGCTGCCTCCTCCCCTGCCCCTGCCCTCGTGGCAGGCTCTGGGTTATGTCCACCCCAAAAGTGGGCCCTTGTGACACCAGAGCTGGCTGGTTTGTGCCTCAGGCTGTTTGGACTCGTTCCTCACCTCCTGCAGAAGCTTCACTCAACTTCTGCTGCCAGGGCAGGGTCCGTGCCAAGCCTGTAAAAGCCGAGCCCTTGGCAGCCCCATGGGGCAGGGGCTTCGTTACCCTTTTATATCCTGAAACGGAGCCTGGGCACTTTCAACTTTGTGTCCACACTGAAGCTTTTGGCTGTCACAGAGGGAAAAGTTTAGAATAGTTTGATCTCAGATCACAAATCCAAACTTTTTTTTTTTTTTTCCTGTGTTTAATCTAGCTCTGCCCAGACTTCTTTGGAGCTCCACATTCTCTCCTCCTCTGTGGTGGCTCAGGGGAAAAGGAGGCTCTGACATGGGCACAGAGGGGCCACTCTAAAAGTTTGGCCTCTTGTCTCTTGCCTGGGTTGTATCTTGGTTACAAACCTGGTGCTTGGGTTTTGTCAGCAGAATCTGAAATCCTGGTGTTCTTAGGCTACACTTTGATTAGAACACAGCCAGGAAAATGTGTGGTAATTTTCACTCAAACAATTTCCACACAGCTTTCTCACCCCCCCAACCCACAAACTACCTCCCCTTTTCACAGACACTTTCCAGCAATGAACTTCATCCAAAGCCACTGGAGGTAGGTTGTGTTTCCAACAACAGGTACAGAGAAAGTGGCAGGAACATGGATCTCCTTCTGATCCCTGCTCTCGTACAACTAAAGCTTGAATGTGAGTTTCATTCTTTTATTTTTACAAAATCTGAATTTCTACACTAACTTTGGATCAAAAGTTTATTCTCCACACCAGCAAGATGTTGTTTTTTTTTATTTGCTACAAACTGCATTGTCTTATTTGGGGAGTATGTTCACAATTGAGAAAGAATTGCCTTTATTAACAAATCAAAAGCTTGTGCTGTCAAAACTGAAATCGTTCTACCTTTTTATGTGCAAATTACAGCTTCTGTCAAACCTTCAGCCATGGTGCGTTTAATTTGTGGAAATATAAAAATATCTGGCTTAATATTAAAATATTCTGCATGAGGAAGGAAATATTTGAAGTGATGCATTGCAGTCAAGATTCTCGAAAAATCAGATTTGAAAGAAATAAAGTGGTGCTTTAACAGAATTTATTTTCCCTACTTCTGCTGGAGTTTGGAGCAGTCCTTAAAAGTGTGTTGAAGTTACAGAGGTTTCTGAATATCTGGCTGGATCATGGCCTTTGGGAATGAACCAAGCTAAATCTAAGCATGTCCAGGACAGAGGAGCTACATCCGCAGGGTTTTCAGAAAGGGGCACAAGATGTTTATTTTTTTAATTAATGGCAAAGATACTGAGAAACTTTTCAGTCAATTCATTAGAGTTGGGGTAAAACAAAAAAAAGCAAATATTGGTTTCAGCACGGTAGCTCATGTTTTGGACGGTCTTTGTAGAGAGGATAAAATTCTGATCATGTGAGGCTGGGCACTGGTTCTGTATTTAGGTTTCCAAATAAAGAGCTGTGTGCCCAGCAAGGTGAGGCACTGATGGACTCAACCTGAGCTCCTTCCAGCACAGTTTGGGTTTGAGCCCAGGGCAGCCCACACTCACCTGAGCTTGGAGCTGCCAGTTTCTTTCTGCTCTTTGAAGCAGCTTGTCCTGCTTTTGGCCTGGTTTTGTTGGGAGGACAAGGAAAACCCTGCAGAACCACCTACAGAACCCCCTTTTCAGTGTGCTCAGTGTCTTTAGCTGCATTTTGGCTTATTAGGGTTTTTTCCTAGCATCCCAGCAGGCTAGTTAGTGTTGAATTCCCAGCTCTCCTGTGACCCAGGAGCCTTTCCCATGGCTCTTTGGGAGGCTGGTCCTGTCCAGGCAGGCTGTGTTTGCCCATCTTTTTTTTCCCATCACTTATGAGAATATCTCATCCTGTCTTTGGGGAGGTTTTAATGGGGCTGATTCCATTTCACTTCACTTTTTCTGAGGCCCAAACCAGGAACTTTTGCCCTTCTGAGGAGCTGAGAGGAGAGGAAGTGGCTGTTCCTGAGGAGCAGCTTCACTCCTGGGAGTGCCAGTGCCACTATCCCATGGAAAAAGCCTCTGGAGCAGTGCATTAGTGATGCCTGTGGCCAGGCTGGGATGTGCCCATGGAAGCCCAGGGCAGGTGTTGTTTCCAGTCACCTGGCTCCAGCGGAAGAGCACCAGCATGGTCACAACCACCCACTTCTGTGCAGAGGGTGCAGAAAATATCCCATGAATTGTTGTCAACTGTCAGAAGTTCCTTTTGGGGGTGAATTATTGTCTGCAGGCATCCAGAGCACTTGGTCCCCTATGCCTTTAATGCCAATGTCAGCAGTGCAGAATTCCAGCAGCCAGGGTTTAACATTTAGTTCTTCTGGCTCATCTCTCCAAGGGGGTTCCTACAGGCTGAACGTGCAGGGCACTGCATGTGAAGGTGTTTATTAGGCTATTAGCCATAATTAATGGCAAGGCAGCTACTGAGGCTGTGGGCTGGCCCAGGCTTTGCCCACGTTCTCTTTTTCATACCCACGCCCCAGCGTGAATTATATGATGTTCATATTCAGCCTCTCACCACTAGAGACCAACAAAGTGGTTTGGGTTGGGATCTCCTCTTTCAGGCCATAAACATATGATCCAGCCACCCCATAAAGTGCATTCCTCCAGCTTTCCATGAATTCTTAGGCATAGCTGTGGCACGCAGCAGGGTTTGGGTCTGGTGTCTCCAGCTGGAGAAATCCTGCCCAGCACAGCTGTAAGGCACAGTGTGAAACAGGCACTGGAGCTGGAGCTTCACCCAAACTGGTGAGTTTTGCCTCTGCTGCAGCCATTGTTTTTCCACTGTTTTTCTAAAATAGTGGATACCGTGCTGTCCCCTGCTTCCATGTAGGGATTTAGGGACAAAGCTCTCTGAATGGCACAATTTGCTGCGGTGGGAGGCCCAGGATGGAGGTGAGGGCACTGGTGAGCCAAGCACCTCCCTGGCAGCTCCTCCCCTGCCAGGAGTGCTGCAGCCTCATGCACTTGATCCTTTAATTGGCCCATGTGCAGGCTGGACAGCTCTCTCTTTATTATTGTTATTATTATGCAATCAGACACTACTTACCTACAGAATGTGCTGGAGATGCACTATTTATACAGAAACCACGTACACTGAGACCCATTTTCTCCATGGTGATTGCAGATAATGTGGAAATCTCTGCTTCAATTCATTAGTAGAGCAAAAGACATAGTCAGGATTATTTGGTATAATTCACAGCACTTCAAAATGCATATATTTTCAAAATACTTAAAATCTATCTCTTGGGCTGGTAACTCAAGCTTTACTGTAGTGCTGTCATCTTAAAGTTGGGGTGATGCCATTTTTTCACTGGAACAGGCCAACTGTTCATTAAGAAGTTCATTAAGCATGGGATTTGTGGTGAGTGACCATTGTGCAGTGTTTGTAAAACTGCTCAGAGCTCAGAAGGATCCCTGGCACCTCCAAAGCCCACAGAGTGAAAGCCTTGGGGAACCACCAAGCTGAAAACTTTTTTTCATACAATCATAGAATGGTTTGGGCTGGATGAGAACCTTGATGATCATCCAGTTCCAACCCCCAAAAAAGGTACAACTCAGGGAAAAAAAAAAATAAAATCTGAGGAATTTTGTTTCTTGTGTTGAAAAACAGAAACACTGAGTTAATTTTAATGTGTTCATTTTGTTTAGGAGAAAAGTATCCTTTAGTATTTCTTTTGGATACAATTTTGTGCTGCATATACTCGGTGTTTTGTGACAAGCAAAACACCTCAGATAAGTAAAACTCCTCAGATTAGCATTTCTTATTTCATATCCATTCCTTTCTTACCTTATCAGGACCATCACTGACTTCATCCAGGCCAGTGCTGGATGAGCCTCCAGATTCTTGCCACTTATATTCACACCAACATCCAGTTCCATCCTGTAAAAATCTATGAGTTTAAACCCAGCTTTAAAGACAGACTTTCAAAAACTCTTTCTAACCATTGGTAACCTTTGGCAAATCCTTATCATTTCCAAGTGTGGGTACAGATTTTTTTCTAAAAATGCAGGTGGCAATTTCTGACAGCCATTTACAATTTTTTCAGCCAACCCTCATGTGCACATAGATCTCACCACCCTCACAGCAAGGCTTGTCCACTGGAGACAGGATTTAAAATATCACTGCTTAAGTAATTCAACTTACCTTACGCTCCTGAGACCACCATGTGTGGGTTTATCCTTTTCTCCTTTCACCACTCATCTCTCTGGGACTTTGCTGGGCACTGTGGGGTATTTGCCCACCTCTAGAAATCAGCTGTATAATTTACATTTCTAACTTCAGTTGCTTGGTGACCAGGGCTTTTCTTTCAGTACCACAGATTCAAATGTTCCAATTGTGTCTTGAAAATCTCTTTCTTAGCCCATCCTGGGAAAAGAAAATGTGGTCAAGCTTTTTCCCTCAGTTCCCGGTTTCTCCCACCTCTAAACCTGAGGTTGCCCATGTACCTGATTTCCCAACTCAATCTAATCAGTTACACATTTTTAAGTAGTTGTCTGAAAAAATGGACAGAAATTATGAGGATCATTACCAGTGGGAAGCTGCTTTCCCTGCTGCCACTCCCCCCTGTATGTATTTGCTTCTCTGTCTTAACACCTGAAATGTTTGGGAAAAAATTTAAACACGGCCAATGACCACATTTAATGCAGGAGCTTTCTCACCTCTGGGCTCTGTATTTATAGCTCTGTCATGTTTCTTTCTTGTACTGACCTGGAGAAGACGATTCTTTTTTTTCTTATCTGATGAAAAGGTTGTCTGTCATGATCTGGTTATTGCAGTACAAAATATTGCCTAAAACCTGACCCTGAACCAATTTTGTACAAGGACAGCTTACCCCAGAATTCCAAAGGAGATGAAATCCTCCTCATGCTCTCCAAAGGGGGAAGCTGCTTGGGGCAAATAAAACTGGGCTGAGTCTCAAAATCCATCATGGAGCCTCAGTTTTAAATGCAATGTCTCTGATCCCAGCTGAAGCCACTCTGCTCCTAGTGTTACTCCACTGTACTTGGAGTTTAACGTGGATTAACACAGATTTTCACTGATGTGCAAGCCAGAAATTTAAAAATTAAATTTAAAAAATTACATGTAGTGTGGCTTGAAAAACATTCAAGGTACTTTTAGCTTTATTAAATGATGCTGTTCAGTGACTATTACCAACCAAAAAGAGGATTAATTTCTGATGACTTAGGACCTTCACAAATTTCCCATCCCTTTCCATTCACGTTGCCCATGAACAGACTCTGATTTGTAATTATTTTTTTTCCATTAGACATAGTTATTCCCAAAGTCTTTTGTGGAGGGAGGATAACTTTTCCTGCCTCTGAGACACGGCATTTGTGAAGCAGACAAGAGATGCTGTGCTCACAGACTGCTGACGTGGGGCTGGTTCTTTTCCCTGATTGAATGGATGTGACTTAGGGAAGTTTCTCCAGTTAAGTGAGTTGTGATATTTGTTCAGAACTTCTCTCTGCAAATATTTTAAGTGTTCTGTTAGAATGGTCAGTAGAGAAAGCAACCCCTAGCCCACTGAGATGCACAGGAAATATTTCATATGGCAGTGCAGGACTTTATTCTTCCAAAATGCAGAATCCTTAGTTAAGGGTTTAACTATAAAATATTTACTCACTCTGCCGAGTCCCTCATTCGCCACTGCTCTATGAGCAGTTACTCTGGTAACTTTTTAAGAGCTGTAGTATAAAAATGAACGCAAAGGACTGCTGTCCAAGTCCTTTTAAAGTCGAGTGCTTGAGGCAGCCCCACTCCCCTGGCCAAAGGGAGGGCTGGGTGGTTTGTTTTTCAGTGAGACTCAAAGCCAAGAGGGCTCTGTTTTCACATGCTAATGAAAGCCAAGGTGACAGGAATTTGGCAGAGCCTGATCCCAGCAGCTGCGGGCCAGGATGGAACTGGCCAGGGCATTACACTGAAGCATCACTGAACACAAACCTAAGGCCTGCTCCTAAAACTTCATCAGAAATTAATCCTGTGCCAAATACCCTGGCCATGGCCCAGTTTTTTGGCAAAGTGTTTTTCAGTTTAAGTGACAAATACTTTGGAATTTAAAAGCCCAGTGTCCAGACCCTGGATCGTTTGCTTTCTTTCCAGAAACACTTTGGAGGTGCTGAAAGTCTCCAAAATGTGCCCAGTGAGTTTCTAGGGTGAACCATCAGTGAAGGGTCCACTCACCTAGCAGAGATGCACTTCAGAGCACGTGTGCTGTGCATCATTAGGGATCTTCAAACTTTACCAGTGCTTCAGAAAAGAAAAATAAGAAAAAATATTAGAGCACTTTTATAGATTTTTATAGCAAATCTTTGAAGTTCAGCTCTTGTGTGCCAACCTCACCCCCCTGAGGCACAAAGACAACAACTGTCCCGCATCCAAGTCAGTGAGGCTGCTCTGAATCCCAGTTTGGGGTGCTCTGACCATTCAGGTGTCACAGGAGCGCTGGCTCTGTCCCAGGAGTGCCACTCACTGCACTGGACATGGGAGGATTTCCCCACAAAAAGCTCCTGCAAAGTGAAACCAAAGAGAAAGGCCAACCTCTGCCACACCAGGTGATTTACTTACCTTCAGGTAAAGCACAGCTGTTCTTCCCCACTTCTTTCAGGACAGGAATTCAGCTCTGCATTTTAACAGAAAATATTGGAAATAAAACATTTTCAGGTGAGGGGAGAAATTCCAAATTCCTTAAAATTACTGTGAAATCAATAAGTAAACAAACACAGGGTGTGGTATTCAGTCACCTCCTTCCTTTTTTTTCCCCCTCAGAAAGCCATTTCCAGCTGGATTTTCCCCAAGATGTTAATATTGTGCTGGGTTTAGTGCTGACTGAAGCAAGGTAGCAAGTGGTTATTGCAGGCCTGACATGCCTGTTCTGCCAGGGAACAGCGTGAGCTTTCAACTCAGAAAACAAGGTGAACTTTGTTGGGTCATCAATCTGCTTTTGCCTGCCTTGGCCAGGTATGTGCTCACAACAAGGATGATTTAATTCAGGATCAGTTTATTTGTACTTTCCTTAGTCAAGGCCTGAGTGGTATGGGTGGAAAGTGTTCAACCCCAAGGTTTGTTTTTTAATTTGTTTCTGGAAAACAAGTTCTTTTGAAGAACCAGTCTGAGATTTGTATAGTAGTAGCTTTTCAGGCAGTTTGTCTGCTCACAGAGCTGATGTTCCTGATTGTGAAACAAGAAAACAAGAAGCAGAAACATTTTAAATAGAGCCAGGCAAAGGTAATCTTTCTACTTTCTGCTTCCTAGAGTGCACTTGCAAAGGAGAACCATTCTTCAGCTGCTCCTCTTCAGCATGAATTCCTGTTCCTTCATTCTTCACATCTAATCCATCAGACCAGAGGCAGGAATACAGCTCTGTGTCTCTGAAATGTGACACAGAACCAGCACTGAAAATGGGCTTTAAATGGTGCCACTATGTTGATTCAGTAGTTGGATTTTGCCTGAGAAATAATATGCAAATTAAAGCATTACTCACAAAGGTGTGCACCGTACTTAAAAATATACCTTTAATGCTCAGGGTCCAAACATTCCTGTTTTCTGTTTTAAATACTTCATCAGCTCCATTTCCCCTTGGTTTTCTCTCTTTAAGCCTGTTGCTGCTCCTAGGATGTGTGTGCTTGCATTTATGTGCATGGGTAGGCCCATGATTGTTTCTACTGCTTAAAGCAGGCAATGTAGCTACTGTTTTCCAAGCTCAGTTACTATTTTGGCAAAGCATGGGTATTTGGGGATATGAAAACTGCTCAGCCGCCTTAAGGAAAAAAATTCCATAGGTTTTTGTTTCCATACTTTCCAGTTTTCCACTCATCAGTTGCAGGCTTGTGTTGAAAAATGTCTTTCAGTGTCAGAACTTCTGAAGAGCAAACCCCAGCAGTGGGGAGCAAGTTCACTCTCTCTGCGCAGGACTGGCTGCTAATAAGGGAATAAATAACAAGGAGCACAAGCAGATGAATATTAACTAATACCAAAGCACACCTACCCCTCTGAATTGCTTTCTCTGTTCACATTCTTGCCATTTGAGCAGCAGGGCAGCACCAGCTCTCCTCACATATTGCAGCCTGAGAAAACAGCTCCAAAGGGCCAAAAGAAGCAAATAAAATGTATTTGTTATTACGGCTGACCTTAGGCAGGCAGTATGTGGAGCTGCGGGAATCATTCATGGAATCTCTGATTATAAGTATGGTGATAACTGGTAAGGCTGTGCTGAACTACTGTGAAACAATTCAGGTAGTCAGCAAACAGGGCTAATTGCCAGTTTGGGGGAGATTATGGGTAATTTACTGCCCACTGAGGGCTTCTACCTAAAAATAAGCTTTTTTTTTTTTTCTCCCTTTGGACAGCACTTGCATGTTAATGTAGAATTCCTGATGCAATTACATGTGAAGAGGACATTCAGATGCACTTCCATAAATGCCCTTCTGCTTCTCAATTACATTAACTGTCTTTGTAGATCCTTTGATAGAAACCATATTCTTCACTTTCTTTTAAATAGTGAACAGGCGCTGAGCTAGACTTTGCTGTTATCCAAGATGTCCCGATCAAAGGGCTGAGGGTAACACAATAAACACAAGGAAAGAAACTCCTGGTGGTTTCCAACACAAACTAACGGGAAAGTGTCAAGTGAGCAGCTACTGACAATTCCAGCACCGAAACCAAATGTTCGTGTGTGAAACTCCACCTTTGAGAAGGAAGAACAAATACCCACAGAGTGTTTTGGCTATAATTACTTCATTTAAGGGGAAAAAGAAAAAAGTGCTGAATTCAGTTTGCTAAAGTCAAGACATTAATATTTTTGGCATGTAAAGATGTAAACCAAATGTTTAAATGAAATGTCATCCCCTGGGTTCACATTTGTCCACTGAACTACGGTGCAAACCCTCCACAGACCTTCATACAATACACATTTTTCAGTTCATTGAAGAAGGCCCCTGCTGCTTCTCAAGGAAAACTAACTTGCAGAAGCAAAATAAATACCGGCGTGGCACTGCAGCAGCGGAGCCTCAGAGCACAGATGTGCAGCACTGCCGGCTTTTCCATCAGATAAGGAGCATCCAGACATAATCACTCCAGTGTCTGGGACACGGCACACGCTGCGGCGCTGCCCAAGTATGGCCTGACAGACACATGCAGGGTGTGCTCGGGCTGGGAGGCAGCGAGCTGACAGCGCTGCAGAACAGCCCTGTTATGTCTATAGCCAAATGTTTGTGTAATTTAGCCTGGGCTTTGAAATCGCCTCAGAAATCAGGGCACAAATGGAGCTTTGTGAGGAGCTGTCAGGGATGGACCTGCTGCACGGGGACGTTGGCCGGACCGGGGGGCAGCCTTGGGCTGTCACTCTGGGAAGCTTCTGTCAGTCCCAGTGCTGCCCATGCAACCAGCAGGGCTGCTCCAGGGCTGCTCCTGCAGAAAAATTATACATATATATATATAGATATAGATATATAGATATAGATATATAGATATATAGGTATATAAATATGTATAGGTATAGGTATATAGATATGTATATGTATATATGGGAAGGCCAGCAAAATGATTGGAGGGGTGGAACACCTCTCCTTTGAGGAAAAGCTGAGAGAATTGGGATTGTCCATCCTGGAAAAGAGAAGGCTTTGGAGTCACCTAATTGCAGCTTTCCAGTACCTGAGGGAGCCCGCAACAGAACATGGAGACACTATTTCCAAGGGCCTGGTGAGACAGGACAAGGAGGAATGGTTTCAGATGGAGAGGAGGTTTAAATTGGCTGTTAGGAAAAATATCTTCCCTGTGAGGGTGGGGAGGGCCTGGCACAGATTGCCCGGAGCAGCTGTGGCTGCCCCATCCCTGGCAGTGCCCAAGGCCAGGTTGGATGGGGCTTGGAGCACCCTGGGGCAGTGGAAGGTGTCCCTGCCCATGGCAGGGGGTGGAAGCTTGAGATGAGCTTTAAGGTTCCTTCCACCCCAAACCATTCTGTGATTCAAATGTGTACCTATATCTATATAAACACACACAGAGATATGCATACAGATATACACACATACCCTGTGTGTATGCAAGGGGTTACTGCTGGCTGCTTTTAGGCAAGACACCTCTAAAAAAGAAAAAGAAAAAAAAAAGTTAAAAAAAATATAGAAATACAGCTCCCTGGGCCTGTGGTAGTTCCTATTAAGATATACAAAGTATCTCAGCAAGGGAAAATTTAACTTACATACAACACATGATTTTAAATAAAGAAATATTGATGGAGCAGGGGGGGGACAAGTATTTTTTTAGCTCTAATTTATGGCTGAGCAGCTTCATTTTAGGTACTTCATGGGAATATTTTAAACCAAGCCTGCATAATATTAAAATAAGTTAAAATGTATGTAAAATTTATGAGAGCATGTCAGGTGCAATGCTTGATAAAGTAAGTTTAATGCTTCAGAATTTTTTTCTTCAGGCAGAGAAATCTGAATCCCGCAATTCTAGGTTACAGTATAATTTTAGAAACTCTTTTCCATTATACCATTCTTTTATTAATGAGATCCAACCCAATTTAACAAAAAGAGGTAAATTCCTAAAGAGTTTGTGGAAAGTCCTCAGCAGGTTGGAAGCTGGAAGTGTGTGATAAAAGGGGGTATTCTCCTGTTCGCAGGATCTGTTCCATTTTACAAAAACACAGAGGAAATCAATTCACAACAAACTTTCCAAGGGTGCCTCTCCAGTGCGGTTTTCCTCCTGGAAATGCCGCCTGGCTCCGTGAGCAAACAAAAGCTTTGGCAGTTGACAGGGGCTGTACATCACTTTGAAAACTCTTCATTTACCGGGGGTGTGTCATGTTGCTTCATTGTGTGACACTCCCAATTATCGTGACAGAGCTAACTGACAAAGTACTGTCACCCCACTGCAAATCCAGAGCAGCTCCTTTCCATTTTTCTGCCTGGTCATGGGAACGTCGCTGAGCCGGTACAAAGGAGCGGCAGGAGCTGCAAACAGGGGCTGCAATGGCTGCAAACTGCTCTGCTCTATTAAAAATTCAGCTCCTCGGCAATATTAAATCTGAATTTACTTCCATCAAACAGAAACTTAGCATATCTCATTCTTCCATTATAAAATATTGACATCAGGAATAGTGAATCCTGAAATGAAGATTATAGATGAAAACTATGTGCTTGGTAATTATCATTTTTTCTTTGTTATTATTCCTTTCCTCTGAGGATTGCACAGGCTGTTGCAAACAGTAATGAAGTTAGCATGCAATGGCAATGCAAAGTGTGCTGCAAAGTTATTCTTTCCCTCATTATGGATGAGGGAGGAAAGACAGCGGGAGGAGGGAGATTTCCCCAGCCAAACCCGCGGACGGGCGGGACAGCCCCCACCTCATGTCTTAATCAGCATCCCTGGTGAGGAGACCCTCAGTGCCATCTTGTTTCTGTCTCCTTTTGTTCTGCCATTTCCCTGGGTTTTTTAGGTCTGTACTGGAGCTCAGAGTTGTTAATATCAATGACACATTTTTTTGTCACAAACCAAGCAGCCGGTTCACAAATCCTTTCACTGCCCTGTCTTGTAATGCTCTCGAATAACCAGAGCACTGGCAAACACAGTTCTAGGTGTGGAAATGTCCAACCCCTCATCCCAACAGCCCTTCTTGAGGCCTGACACCACAGTGTGAAGAGATCAACATGTTGGCCAACCTGCACTGAGCTAACCCTTTGGTTCCTGCCTGTGGACACAGCCCGTGGCTCAGGATGGCCTCCACCACAAGAGCCATGGCACCACCCCCTGAAATTCCCACCTGGCCCATGAACGTGGTCCCAGCTCTCCAAGGGTGAGAGCCTCTCTCCAAGGAGACCACGCAGACAGGTCCAACTTGGTGGGATGGGGTTGTTTGATGGCCTCCTCCACATCCTCCTGAACCCCCCTTGTGGCCTGCAGATGTTCTTGAGGAGTGTGATGTATCCCAGGTGCAACATCGGATACCGAGTCTGTCTCATGTGCTTCCTGCAAAAATCAATCCAAGTCAATAAAGTGCCCACCCTCCTCCCACAGTGCTTGCAGAGGTTCAAAGCAGGACCAATTACTCTTAAGGTGGAATTGTCAACTATCAGATGGGAACAGAGAAGTTGACGCATTATGTAGGAACAGATTTATTTAGAGGACTTGAAGAATTTGTTTTTCTATCAACAGGTCTATAATGGCAGTAAAGCTCCTGACCTTGATGGGCATTTGGTCCCAACCCTTCTTGCCAAACAAATCCCCCTTCTGGTTCCCCCTTCCCCAAGTTTCATATATATATAAAAAATATAAATATCTTTGTCATGCACTCAGTTTTTTGTGTTTGATTCCAAAACTGAGAACCCTGCCAGTCTCCAAGTCTAAAGCTTCATGTGAACCTCTCTGTCCCTGCCAAGCCCACAGCGCACAAACACCACAGCATGTTATCATCACACAAGATGTTCCCAAGTTTAACAGTTCTCATCCCAGAATACCAAACCCCTCTCCCAGCACTCCCACCAAATCAATATGCATTATTATTACATGCTCAGATACTACATCAGATTTCTGCTCATGCCAAAATTTCAGCTAGCTGTTCCCTGGAGTATTTATGCTTGTGTACTGTATTTAACAACAGCCCATTCAAAATGCTCACAGCTCCTAGGAATGAAATGCACATAATTTAGGAATAGCTGTCTGGCTATTCAGGCATCATGCTGTGTCAAGGGAAAATTAAATCTCTGACTCTCCCCCTCTTCTAAAACAAACCTGTACTTTGCATCATATTTTGGGGAGCTGCACGGAAGTTTCATAAAGACCAAGTGGCCTTGGCTCTTTTTTTCCTGTTTAATGGCAGTGCCTCCCCATTAATGCTCCACAGTAGTTTAAAAAAAAAGCTCTCAGCATGCAGGCATTGTATCACATTAAGAAATCAGGATTTTCTAGGCACTGCACAGCATTAATTACACTGAGCATGCTGCAAATTTAAATTAAATGATATGCCATGTTCTGTTGTAAATATCAAAATGGATTGCAAGATAGAACCCCATATTGGCATTTGTGCACTGAACAGGATCAGAAAATCTCTATGACATATAATTTCTTTTTATTTTAAGCATGTGTGATTCAAATATGCTTTTTATTTTCAGGAGTACCTAAGAGCACACATACAGGTTAGAACTTGTCTCTACTGAAAAAAAAAAACCCCAAACAAACCCTCTCTCAATAATAACAATGATAAAAGAACAAAAAAAGCCCTCTTTGCCTTCATTTCCTTTCCAACACAGAGCAAGTATTTACAGTGGAGGGCACTGAGAGGAAAGTGGGGAATACAAGGGGCTGGAGCAGCAGCTGGAGGTCAGCAGGAGGATCTGATTTTGTCACTTGGGTTGGAGTACCAGGATCCCATGGAAGTAAATGCTGTGGGGGTTCAACTCACCCAAGCAGGGAAGGGCTGCTCTCCCAGCAGGAATTTCACACAGGAGCAGAGTGAGAGGTGAACTGGGGCTGTCTCAGCTCTGTGGTGATGAGGGAAGCCTGATTTGGTGATGCTATGGGAAGAAGTGTCAGAAGAGAATATAAACAACAAACAAAAGGTCTGGCAGTATTTGTATTTTCTTAGCATTGGTATTTTGCAGTTTTATACTATCAGGTCGAATGGTCACAGTCTCAGCAGCCTCTGCCCTTAACACATGAGGAGTATTTCTAATATAATTTCACATATTTCTATGTGACAAAATACTAGACAAATATTTTCCAACTTTGCACATCAGGGAAAGGATGGCATTTAGTTAACTCTATAGAAAAGGCCTTTAAAAACAACCCTGTATTTTTCAGGGCTTATTTAAGGCCTTGATGAAATGATGATCACTGAGCTGAGGCCCACAGGTGAGTGCCAGTCTCAAGGTATGAAGGAGACACAGCAAAGAAGTGTGGGCAGGAACATGCAGAGCCACTGATGTTTCTTCAAACCCAGCATCACCATATTCTTTCTAAATTATCTTTTCTGTGTCTTTTGCTCCTAGGCCTTGTTTTCCTGTCCCGTTTTGCAGCAGTCCTGTGTGTGGGAGAAGTACAACTGGGGGACACCTGATGAAAAGAGGTGCTGGAACAACTGGCCTTCAGCTCTGCCACCTTCCTTTGGTGCTTGCAAAAAAAAAAAAAAAAAAAAAACCAACAAAAAAGACAAAAAAATCCAAGCCAAAGGTAGTTTATGTGCAGCTCAGGAAGCTCTCAGCAATGAGTGTGTCTGTGATTTAATAACACATCTACCCAAAATGACACTTCTAATACTCACTGAGAAAAAGAAGGCATAGCAGCACACAAGGCACTGCTATTGCAGCAACAAACAGCCAAACTACCAGGCATTTATTTTTCAATGTACACAATTACTGAAGGAGAATAAAAATTGTTCTTTGACACTCTGACAGACCATAGAAAGCCCTGTGCTTCCCCTACTCCCATGGTCCTGACAAGAAACACCTCACAAATTCTAATAAATAGTGAATAGAAATAAATACTTTAACTACACAGCATCGGGTTTCAAATGGCTTCCTGAATCAGAAAGTGCTGCTCGTCCATCTTCCTTATTTCTCCACTCTGTAATGGTGGCTCTCCAAAAGTTAAAGTGAGATGGATACTGCAAGGATCACAGACACTACACTGGGAAACCAAGTATCAGTGGGTACATCCAGATTTATGGTAGGTGATGGCAGTAAAGTGAAAGTAAAACTGTTTGCACAGTCTGTATTGTTGGCCATTACTGTGTATTTGCCCTTTTTTCTTGCTTAGCTGCAGCTGGAAGAATGGAAAATTGTACCTTCTGTACGGTATTAGGAGACACTTTCTGATCGTAAGGTCAATCAGACTGGTTTAGCTGCTTGAGGTATTTATGGCACAATCACTCAGTGTCTTTAAGGAAAGGTTAGATACATTTATGGGAAAGGTATTTTGCAGAAGCTTTCCTGCTTCATAGAGGTCTTGGACAAAATGACCCAGGAGGCCCCTTCCAAGTCTATCAAATGTGGTTCCCTGATTGATGCTGTTTCCCCCCAAAGTCTTTTCAAAACACAAAGCACTGTTATAAAATTTAATATGATACACTATATAACTTTAACACAATGCCATTTTCTTATAGGAAATGGTTAGCTGGTAGCACAGGAGCCTCGTGCAAGAGGAAGAAAAGTAGAAAAAAAGGAATTGCAGTGCAGTTTCTCTGCTGAGGGATATCGACTGTAACATTTACTCTGTGTCTGAGCATGGACCCTCAGCTGTGCAGGGAGGCACCAAGCCAGGGAAGGGTATAAGGAACCCAGGCTGTGGAATTTATTTCTCTAGAAAAGCCTGACAAGGCCTGATGTAATTTTCTATGCTGTGCAGTAATCATTCCCTCAGTGCTGGGAAGCAAATGGACACCCAGCTCTCCCTGTAAATCACTGCCCGGTGCTGCATCAGGGACAGGGAGCAGGGCAGTGCCAGCGCTCCTGCGCAGCCACAGGCCCGGAGCTCAGGTGTGTCCTGCCTGCCCCAAGTGCACCACAGCAGAGGAACCTGTTCTGTGACCAGCCCTCCCTGCCATGGCTCTGTCTCTGCCCGCCCAGCAGCACCGTGGAGCAGGCGGAGCAAATCCCTGGAAACTGCCAGCGCCAAAACCCGCACTTCTGAAACAGGGCAGCGGCACCCCTGCCAAGGGGTTTGTCAGCAGGAGAGCTTGGGCCACGTTTCCCTTGGCTCAGTACAAGACTGGCAGGCAGAATGCTCTCCAGGTCTTCTGTGTTTACACCAAACCATTCACTAAAATGATAATTTCTCACTACTATACTTCTTTTGTTTCAATTTGCTGAATATTTCCTAAATTTACTTTTTTTTTTTTTTAATTGAAACAATTAACATATTTAAAAATTAAAGTCATGTAATGATTTAAAAAAAAAAACACAAAAACAAACCCAATCAGATTCTCTGGGCCATCTGGTTGAAATGCTCTGGTCAGCCTCCACTGCTCTGTAGTAAGTTTTAATTTTAGATTCTTACGGGGGGAAAAAAAAAAAGAAACAAATACCCAGAATTTTATTAAATTGGAGTTCACTCTCAAAATTATTTTGTACTAACCTTTTTGTTTTCACTCCAGCTGATTTAGTTAAAGGCCAAACTCTTCTTCCAAAAATCAGCTCCCAGCCCCCATCTTCTTGGGATAGCCCTGACAGGAAATAACAACATCCATACACAGACACTCCAAAGCCTTTTGAAGTCTCACAAATGTGAGCTGTTCCCTTGTGCAGAGCAGGCTGGGATTAACTCTTTTATTAACCTTATAACCTCATCCATGAGAAAGAAAAATAGCCAATCCCTTTTATATATATATATATATATTATTTTTAATTTGGAAGCCTGCAGCCTTCTCTACTCAAACATTTGTGAGCTCACCCTACAGACAGGAGCAAAAAAGCCCATGGGAAGCCCCCTCTCCCTGAGGAGCTCCACAAAAGCCCCTCTTGGGCCCTCCCATTATTTTGCACTCAGTGTCAAAGCTTGTGTTTTCACTGGAAAATATTTTCCCTTTACAGGAGGGTTGTGTCTCTCTGTATTGGTGAGAGCAAATAACAACCTTTTGGTCCTTTTCAACATGTTGCATCAATGTATTTTCCTGATTCCCATGTCAAAAAAGCAACTTTTAGCAGAATGAAAAATCTGACCTGGGTGTAATCCTGACAGTGCTCCAATTTCTCATCCTTAGCTTCATCCCTGCACTGCAGTGCAGGAGGCTCACGTTGGAATAGCTCTTCTCACCAGAGTCAAAATGGTAAAAATTAGCTCAGAGAGTGACATGAACAGGAATTTCAAAGGCAGGAAAATTTATCTCCTGCTCTTTGTCTTACACTGTGGTGCACTAGAGTGGTTGGAAGATTTAACTTCCAAGCATCCCATCTTTATAAATCCTAGTGGACAACTCCCCAGCTTCTTTTTTTAGGGTGTTGAGCTCAGCATCTGGAATCTTCCAGGGAATGATGGCCAAGATAAGGATGAAGAAAAACTTTCTTGTTGCCATCAGGTGTTGGTCAGGGGTCAGGATTAGGGAACAGCCAAAGCCAAAGAGAGCTCTGTGTGTTACATGAGGTCACAGCTCTTTGGTGTAAGGACCATGGGTTTGGGCCAGCCCTGCCCCTGCTCTGCTCATTGACTGCTCTGATGATACAGCCCCCCTTGGGCTTTCTGCTTTTGAAAGATTTACACTCGGTTTAAATCTCAATAGAAAGCTCCACTTTAGCTTTTAGGATGCCAAAGACACTTGAAAATCTCTGATGGGAAGGACAAGTGAGGAAGGCAGAATATCTTTCCCTTGCAAAGGCAAATACCACTTGGCTGAGGAGTTTCCAGCTGCTTTGCTGGATAAACAGACACATCACAGTTCTAAAGTGCAGGGGTGCCCTTCACACCAACAGGCAGAGAAAAGAGGCAGTGGGAAGAGTAAGAGGCACCAGAATAAAAAAGGCAGGATCCAACTGAAATGTTACCTTCTTTGGTCTTTGAAAATGGGAAAACCCATTCAGGACCAGGAACTTCCAGACTGGGCTGTATGCACCATTAATTGCTCCATGAAGCAGAGCTGGTCTGCTATTGTTGCATTCTCCAAAAACAGCTGTTACTGTGAGCTCTTTGGGGCTCAGGAACTCCATTTCCCAGTTTTCACTTAGTACTTCAGTGATCATATATAAATAATAATAATGATAATCATAACAATACCTGGCTTGCCATTATGTTGTACTCAGTCTTTGTGATGCCTCTCTCACGATAAAATCTGTGTATTAAACACTTTAATTGAAACTCTTAATAAAACAGAGATATTTTTACTTGTGCTGTTATATTCACATTATGATCACAAAGCACTTTATAGAATCAGATCAAAGTAGCCAGTCTGATCCTTTTATAGATGATTTTGTGCATCTCAGCAGTGCATAACAAAGCTGCTGTATAGACAATTAATTGTCAAACACACCATGTTTTGGGGTTTGTCCTGGCTGAGCAGTATCCAAAAGTTTGGGGTTTATCGTTCAGATCGGTGTGAAAGTCTCTAAAGCCACCACAAATAACATGACAAGAGGGACTGGACGGTCTCACCAACTAGACAAGAACAGGCTGTGGTATGTCATTATCAAGGTCCCCAGGTCAGAAAGAAAAAAGGTTTTAATTTTCCTGATTTAGGAAAAAAGCCACGGAAGTCTTGGAGCTGAGTACTGAGCAACCTCCATGGGGTCACTGCAAGGGGACAAGGCAAATGCTGGCCCTGCAAATGCTCATGGTAAATGGTGCCTCCCAAGGTCTGGAAGGATCTCCAGCTTTGGGCCTTGCACCAGGTACGTTTGGAGCTGTGAGACAGTGGAGGGCTTTGTTCCCTCCTGTATAATTGATAAATTACCATTGTTAGTACTAAACAATACAAGTGAGCACAGAATGGAAACACGCTAATGCTTTATCCAGCTCCAGCAATTCTGCTCGTGTGCTCACACTGTTCTTAAATGTGCTAGGTATTTGTTTGATGAAACAATAAGTTTTAGAAAAGAGAAAAATAAGAACTTCAAAGATAATAAAAACCTTGACTACATACTTTACCACAGGCAGCTGTGAATAAGCTTCAGTACTCTTTATTTTTAACATTCCAGATATGTAATTTAATGCAGGTCTAATGACAGTCTCGAACATACTGCTTTAATCGAAATTGTTCAAGCTCTGTTCTGTGACAAGGGCTCACAAGATACCAGCAGGGTTGTCCATTTTCCCCACTTCTGTAGGGAAAAGAAAAGGGAGGGGAGTGGGACACTCTTGAACTTATGTTGCTATTGATGTGTAATACACAATAAAAAAACAGTTACATTTCAATTACCCACAGGTAATTATAATTTTATTGTTTGACTGTACTATGGGGATTTTTGTAATTCCCAAGACTAATAATTTTCTATAATTTTACAGGTTGTCAAATAAACTATTAAAGATTATCTTTGAAAAGGATTCTGCAATTGTAAGGACATATCATACTGTTCCTGTACATTATTAGTAATTAGAGATCCCTGGATAGTGAAATATCCACACTATATGCTAGCTGCTGGATACCATATTTTCTCACAGCCTCCTGTAATCTTGAACCAAAGCTTTCAAACTTCTCAGTCATTGTAGCCTGAGTCACGTCCAAACTTTTATTAATATTCACTGAGCACTCATTAAGCAATTCTGGCGCGTTGGATACATTAAACCCGTGCTTCCTGATGGGGACAGGCAAAGGCTCCCAGGTCCATCCCAGAGCAGTGGAAACAAACACAAAAGGGCTCATTCTGAACTCTGTCCCCTGAAGAGGATATAGGGAAGAGGCAAAATTTATACCAGCACAGAAGATGTGACAGTGCCTTTTGACAATGACGTGGCTTGCACAACAAGACAGAGTTGTGCTTCCCGACTCTATCCTAAAAACACGCACAGATGCGGATATGCTGGGGATCAGCATGGCATGTCCACAAGGAGGGGAAAGGCATGGGCAGGGTCTCCAGCCCACAAGAAGCAAATGAATTTGGGGTATTTCCTCATCCTCATCAGCAAGCCCCCCCGATTTACTGGGGTGTTGGTGAGGAACTCCCCAGGCCAGTAGAGACCAACATCTGCACAGCTGAGCAGGCAGCAGCCACTTCTCCCACGTAATCTGGGAGAAGCCAGAGGCCACTAAAGCAGCATGTGTCCCTCACCTGCACAGGGCTCGGTGACATCCTCACAGGGTCCAGCCCCGAGGAGAGGCAGAGGAGGGATGAGCTGAGAGGAAGAGCAGCCCCCAATGTGTTTCAGGAGCAGCTGGCACAGCCTGCGAGGGCAGCAAGCTGGGGTTCAGCAGCTGAGAGATGGCTGAGCTCTCCGCCTGCAGAGCCATCAAAGGCACCATTCTTAGCTGGCAGCATTGTTTATGGCAGCTGCCCCGGGAGATCATCATTATTTGTTTTATCGGGCTCTTGGATGGCTGTGTGGTGAGGGCTCTGTGCAGGGGGAAACTTCACTGCCTTAAGAGCACTCTCAGGCCATGGGGACTTTGAGGCCTCCACCCCTGGAGCGTGCACAGCCCCAGCCTGTGCGGACACCGAGCAGGAGCAGCATCTCAGGGCTCTGGACACATCTGCAGGGAGGGGTTTGCCCTGCTCCTGGTGCCAGGAAGCCTCTGTGGCAGCTGCAGCGCTCAGCAAGGGGCCTGGTGAGGGATTTCCCTCACACCAGGGAGTGGAGGGTGGATTGTGTTGGTTTTACGGCAGTGTGGAGCTGGTGGAGCAGTATAAAGATACGGGAGCTCAGGGAAGGATTAAGGCCAATGGACTGCAGCTCCCTGCCTTCCTCCAGAGACAACTTGGAGCCCATCAAAGGTATTAAATCTGAGGAGTCGCTGTAGATGCACACACCGGAGCTCTCTTTTCCGAGGCTTGCTTGCCTCGCTGTCCCGAGCTCATCCTGCACCTATGGGAAGGTGTGGGAAGAAGGACAGTTGATAATTTGGAGAGCTCTTCAATCAGTGGCATTCCCTGCTCCTGACCTGCTCTCTGCCTACTAACCCAGCTCAATGAGACTCAACCCATTACTCCAAATGACTGGCACTTACAGTAAGTAGAGGGAAAATCCAAATCCCACAGAGAAGGCTCAATATGCTTCTGGATAAGAGACAGCACCATATACAAACACAGAGCTCTCTTTCCCCTTAATTCTGGTCTGTGCTTTTCCTGCTTAACACATCCCTTGTTGCAAGGAGAACACCTTCTGACAATTGAATAGTGAAAGCAATTAGAAACAGAATTAATTGATAAAATTAAAGCCCTGCTTTCCTTATGTTTGTCATATGACTACAAATATTGTCACTCCCATTAATATTAATTAATATAATTATCAATGTTTCTAATCCCTACACATTTTGTTGAAAAGTTACTCTTAGCTCAAGAATATAATTGTTAAGTCGTGGAAATGTTAAGTAGCAGCTAAGCAAGTCCAAAGAATTAATAGCAAACTGTAGTTTATCCAGGGATTAGACTTTTAGCAATACATAATCACCTCTTCATGTGTTCATCCACATAAAATACCTTCCATCCCTCACTACACTTCTGCCTACTTGTCCTTGCAGTGCACAGTTTTCAAGAATGAAAGAAAAAAAGAAGATAGTAAGTAAATATCCCGTGCAGTTGCTGTTCTTCAAGGTAAGTCACTGCACCAAGAGTTCTGTGCCCACTGCTGCGAGCGATGTCAAGGTCAATTATCTCAGGCTGAAAACCCTAATGCAGGATACTTTTGTGATCAGAATAATCTGTGTAACACTGCAAAGCCTTCGTTTTGGAGTCAAGCAAAGCAATTCCTCTCTCTCCTGGCTTCCCCACGCATTGTCTCTCAGTTGGAATGTCACAGATTACTGGAATAATCCAAAGGACTGCCCTGCCATGCAGTTTCTCCTGGAGGGTACCAGCAGCGCTCCAGGGGCACGGGGATTGGAGCAGAGCCTTCCCTGCCGCCTGCCCAGCTCCTCAGCCAACACCCAGCAATTCCTGCCTGGCAGAGCAGGCAGCACTGCTAGGTGCAGGATTAATCAGCTCTTTTGGAAAACAGCCAAAGTGCTTTAAAGGCCTTTGTTGTAGGGTAGAGGGGTTTTTCTGCTAGAAGTGAATAATGTAATCATTTTGCTATTAATTTTTAATTGTATGTTGCTCTGCATTATTACCAATCTATACTGATTTTCCTGAGAGAAATGGGGATGCTGTGCAAGTGGTTTCTGTTAGGAATGCTGTTGGGCCACACTGGAAAAGAAGTGACAGAAAAGAGCTGTTCTTCAAAGTTACTGCAGTCACCTGCTGCTGTCTATTCCTACAAGGTATCACATTAAATACTTACAAAATGTATGAGCTCAAGAAGATTCATGGAGAACTGCCAGAGTTTCCCTGTTGTCAGGTGTTTTTCTTTGCTTTTATTTGTGGGGGTTTGTTTCTTTTCTATTTTTTTAATGGCCACCCTTTGTAAGGAAAAGTTACTTCTGAGAAATCTTTTGCAAGCAAATTAAAACTCACTGATGTGGATGAAATCAGCAGCAAGAGTAAGAAATACATTCATTCTTCTCAGAAGACAATCTTTATCAAAAATGCTAAGATGCAGCCCACTGATACAGTTAAACTTTCTGGTAGAAACACGATAGTATCACTCACTTGTGCCCACTCACAAATCCTTCGTTTCATCTAAGAGAAAACTGGCCATGAGGGGACAGGAAATCCTTAATCTGCTTTTCTCCATTTCTTCAAATATCTGGTTCTTATCAACCCACATCGAACATGAGCGACACAAAAACCTCGTGTCCTCCACTTCATAAAACAAATGCAAACAAAGCACAGACACGTCTCTGGTGTGAGATGGACTGAGCACAACAAAGTATTGCACGGCAGCAAAGCTGCAAAGCACTTCTGAAAAGGCATTAAATTCAGGGAGAAGAAATCAATTAGACCAAGAAACAAGTTATGTACAACAATCTACACTTTGCCACTGGCCTAAGTATGAGGGTAAAAGGGGCCCTTCATCTGTTCCCCCCAATATTTGAAAACTATCTTTTTGCAAAGAAAAATTATGGCTTTTTTTTCTCTTGAATCCCTAATACTAATCATGTATTTCAATATAACACTATTTGTATTATACAGTATCCTGTAATGTATGATCCCTATAATAAATCACACTATAAGAAATATTTTATAGAACTATACATTAATGCATTAATAAAATAAACATGTATAAATATATAGTTTGTTGGCTTAAATAGCCATTTTAAAAATTATTATATTTTTGGGCAGATATTCAAGATATTAACTGTAAGCTGGGAAATTCTGGTGAGAATTCACAAAGTTTGTACCTAATTCAGTTGAATTAGCTTTGAAATAGAGAAATAGATGATTTGAAAAGGAAGAATTACACACATTAAATTTTCAGTTAAAAAGAAAAAATACCCAGAAATTTTCTACCTGGCCAGTTCCAAACTGCAGTTTTAGTCCTGCCATAAGCCCATGATCATTAATGAAACATGTGCCTTTGTCTTCCCCATATCCAATGCTGCAGGACCTCCAGAGGTGATTCAGGAAAGCTCTGAAATATTCACAGTAAGTCCACTAAACACTTTCCCAAATAGTGATTCTTTCCTGAGCTGGGGCCAAAATAGGTCAAGTAAAGGGAAAACCAAAAATGCAGACTATGGAGCAACCTGCCCATAATTTCCCAGCAAATCAGAAATTAAACCTCTTGTACAGTAGCCTCTTCCAGGGGAACTGCATTTATCATTCCAGGAATTAGTTTAATCAAGGCTTATTACTGAAGAACTTCATATACAGTATATTATAAATTTGGATTATACTGTTGCTTCACACTTTGAAAAAATAAAACAGAAACTACTGAATTTGCAGTCACCTTTGGTAGCGAGGTTCTGTTCCTCTGCCTATTTGAGATATTTCTTTCCATCTCCTGTGCCATCATGTTTCAGTTCCTGAGAGCTGTAGATATTTATTCAGTGCCCTTCTATCTTGGCCATCACAAATAGCTCCCTGATAACAAATCACACTCTCTGAGCATCATTTGCTGCCAGAAAGGATCCTCGAGAAGCACAAGCTCCGTGATACAGACTATCCCCTGCTTTGCTGTGAATGCCATTAAAAGTTCCACAAAATCAGCTTCCTTGCATTGAGAGGGTAAGAATGCATCATCTCAGTAGTTTTACCACTTCTTATTGCCTGTTTAGGCTTCATACTTA